GTTTTGAATGTTGTTTTCAGCGATGAAATGCACATATAGTTTTATACTTTGTCTTTAGTTTCTGTATTCACAACATAGTTTCTTTATTCGATTTAGACATATCACAATCATGTTTCTTCTTCCGAAATAATAATATGATGTGTTTTTGCGATTCTCAATAGATTAGATTTCCACTTCCCACTCATTTTTCATATTTATCAGTTCTAACGTTGACGTATGTATTATATTTGTAAAATAGAACGAAATCGAAAGTGTTGTTAGACAATTGCATCATCATTACTGAAGATTCCATTGTTGAATCTCCAAAATGTTCATTCCAGTCAACAGGGAGAGAAAATGAAGTAATAGTACATTTCGTAATATTCTTCCCCTTATTATTCTTTAGTGTATTGATTAATGTTTACAAATAAATAAGGGCTTCAAAACTTCCAGCACTTAAATAATATAATATTTATAAATGAAAATAAAGGTAGCAAACAATGAGAATCATTATTCTTCAGGATTACCTAATACTAGATCACTGCACAGATGTGTTATGATAATTATGATTCTGATCATTTTCACGCCTAATACTATAATACACACTTAAAGTACAAAATATTATTTAAAAATACAATAGTATCATAATATTGTGTATATTTAACAAGAATTATATTATTTGTTTCAAATGGTGAACATGATATATTCGAAGAGAGAAAAGACTACATTGGTTTTAGCGTTCGTCACATTCTTTCTAGACATGATGAACTACGCAATTATTGTGCCTATTCTCCCATATCTAGTCAAGGAACTACATTCGACTTCTATGGAAGAAGGATTGTTATTTAGTGTATATTCCATAATGCAACTTATTAGTATATAACAGATAGTGATGTTTACTATATAGGTTTACTGATAATGGGTCCTTGTAGTGATATTTACGGAAGAAGGCCATTTTTGTTACTATCATTGATTGGTTCATGCTTTGGTATGAGTTTGCCTAAAAATTGATATAGTAGGCTCTCTTTTTCAGGGAATGTCCAATACGATGTGGGTCCTTATTTTATGGAGAGCGTTTACAGGGCTGTTTGCAGGATCTCAAATTTTGGTGCAAGCGTAATACTACAGCAATACTATAAGAGATAGAGTTATTTCCGATATTACACCAGCTGAAGAACGAAACAAGTTTTTGTCTCGTTTGGATGCTTGTGGTTCCTTTTCGTTTATTGTTGGTCCTGCATTCGGTGGCGTCCTTGCTCAAGTGAATAATCACTTTCCCATGTACATTGCTGGAACTATTTCAGGGATTGCTATGATCGTTGCATTTATCTATCTGAAAGAGTCCAATCCCAAAATTCTGAAACAGAGAGAGGAAAGACAAGCAAAGAAAAGAGAAGATTTAGAAGAAAATGAAAAATCAAATGGTACTCCAGAAACAGAGAGTAAAGTTTTGGGCCAACATGAACAAGCGACAAAAGAAGAGAAGTCTACCACCAAAACAAAGGTGAGAGTCACTTCAACAATGATTTTCTGTTTGATTTTCGAGTTTTGCATTCGATGGACGATTAATGCTTTTGCTTCGCGTTATGGAATCTATATCAATGATAAATGGGGTGTGAACTCGATGGCCTATTCGTAATATTATAATTTGATCATTAATAATGTTTAGTACCATCGTAGCTGTTCAGGGTATATTTTCTTTTGTTCTTCAGGCATTTGTGTATCCTTGGATTGCGAAGTATGTGAATATTCCGTACTTAGCAACGATGGGAATGGCAATTCAATTAGTATCGTATATTTTGATGGGAGCAGTGAAAAATGTGTATGGTAATATTGCGGCTTCCTTTTTCTTATGGATTGGTTCCTGTTTTGGTAGTCCCGCTTCTGCGTCAATCCTAACTGTAATATTATACGGCGCATGTAAATCACAAATAGACAACTACTAATCCTGAGTATCAAGGAACTGTACTTTCTTGGAATAACTTTTGTTATTCATCCTCCCTTATCATTTCTCCCTTGGTATTATCTGCGATCTATCCATACAACAAAGAAGCGATCTATTATTTCTCGTCTATTTTTGCTCTCATTGGCATGTGCATTATGGGATATATGAGTACTTGGCCGAATGCAAAAATCATAGGTAAAAAGTCCATATACAAAGACGATTCGAAGTCAATGGAGCTGCCTGAGTTGAAAGTTGAAGACGCGATTGAAGAAGGAGTTGTTGCTTCTAAATCAATGGAAGAAGCGCCTGAAGGGGAAGGTTTATCAGAAGAACAATCCAAGGCTGGCAGTTCTATTCCTACTGAAAGAAATCCCTTGGAGAATGACCAAACGCAGTCAGATAATAAAAATTAGGATGTTTGTTAAAAAAGAGATGACTAAACATCGTGGTGAAGTCTGCTTATTTCTGGGGAAAATACGATTCGTTACTGAATGAACGAGATAACGTATTTCATGCTTATATCACACTATATCTCGCCTGATATTCTATACATGACGAAATACGAGACTTTACCTCTTATTAAGCTAGAAACAAAGAAACAAACAAATAATAGTTGGATTGATTGATTGAAACAACAATCATAATTCAGTATCATTGTTAAAATGGTAAAGAAGAACATCATAATAATCAGGCAGGATTGATATTTTGATAATTATAGAATCATGAATTGTGATCAAGAATCGGTTTGAAACAAACAAACAATCAATCAATCAATCAATAGAAATGTTCCTAAATAATGACGAATCACTGAACAAATCAAATCAAATCAAAATTATAGATTTAATGCTTGATTTGGACAAGATCAGCGAGAATGGAAGAAACATCTATGAATCAAATCAAATCAATCAAACTATACTCGAAATTGATTTCGATCGAACACACCCGAATGAACCAGGTAGTTTGACATTTCGTAGATTTGGAATATCTAAATACTATCAATATTCAATATTCAGAAATACTTTCCAATGTCACTACACGAGCATAGCGAAAACTATAATTTACCGAAGTTATTGATGTTAGAATAGGAAGATCTACAAAGCAAATTATAGCCAATCAATTCATTATTACTTCGCATTATCAATGAACTTGAATCATCTTCATATCTTCCATAAAGTGCATGATAACCGAGTGTAATGGATTGTAATAATGGAAGATCTACATCAATCATTTCATTCGAATTCATTCAATACTTTCAATTATTGTTGTCAAGGACCAATCGAATGCACGATCACCTAATGTAATGGATTGTAGATTTGGAAGATCTATGCATCATTCAAATATTCAATATCATATCAATACCTCGAATTACAAATGAACTCCAAAAGAAATTGCCTGAATAACTTCCAATTGTCCCAATTTGAATGGATTGTAATTGTGGTAGATTCTTCAATTCAAAGTCTCCAGCAAAATCACTGAAACTATATTGACCAATTTGAATGAATTCCAATGATTCACAATTCAATATGTGGAATGATCTCGATTTATTTTTTCCCCAATCATTCTTTTCATAAGTAAATGAATTGTTTCCGATTTTGATAGTTTTCAATCGATTCAATCCATCGATTTGGATTGTTTTCACTGATTCAAAACAATCATTGCCCATTTCGATTGATTCCAAATTATACAACAATGAAACATCCCAATCAACCAATACACAATTGTCACTCAGTTTCAAATGTTTGATTCCGATATTCAATGGTTTGCTTCCATCGCCTTCATATTTTTCATCGATATCAATTTCATTTCCATTATACCATTCACATTCATTCACTAAATTCCCATATCGATCATACACTTTGCCAATTCCAAATCGATTATCATCACACCAATATCCTTCATATTCATATACAATCCGATTATGTATGATAACTCGATCCATAGCCAAATCGTTTCCAATTGATCATTATGCCCTTGTACACCAATATTCCATCATCATCATACATTTCACCATATCCAAATGGAATTCCAAACTTGTTTTCTGCCAATATCAAGCCTTCAAATCGACTTCCATGATCCAAATCCACGATTCCTTCTTCCACTACTTCTATGGATTGTTCTCCATTATATGAAATAGCACCAATTTGATGATTTCCGAACACTTTCAACACTTTCTGCTCATTGAGGACAAATCCTTGATTCATGAATACTCCATTATTGAATTGCAATACTATACATTCTCTAGTACTCAATATGAGTGAAATCCAGCCATTTGGTTTCATTTCTTTACCCAAGCATCCCTGCACATTTTGAATAATGGAACTATCAATGTGATAGTTACTGATAGCAGAATTGACAAAATCAGCAATGTTTTGCATCGAAATGAAAAGAAATATGGTAAAACGGTATTTTTGGAAACAAGATCTGTTTCATTATTTCTCGATAGAACACACGTCATGGATTATTGTGTATGGCTGTGATATGCTGGTGTGTTACAAACTAGAATACATATAATAAAACCTCATTTTCTCCACCCATTCCTATTTTTCTATATTTCGGTGCATTTCCATCTATTCATATATTCTTGTGTTATATTTAGATACTTATAGCTATAATTGTAAAATATTACGCATTTTCATCACCTTTATTCTCTCATGTCAGAATGGCTGTTCTATTAAGTCTATAATGGATGTATGTTCTTCAAAATATATCAATTATGTGGTAGTTGATCTTGTTTTGCAACAATCGAACTCACAATAGTGAATACTGTTGGAATGGTTTGATTCGTAATAGAGAGGATGGCAGTAGTATGTAGAATGCAAAATCCATCATTTCTATTTGACAAGTGGATTATTGTATTGATTCTCTGTTGATACTTCGATTCTCTTCTGTCACAATGACCATCCATATTGAGTACAAAGAATGATATTGCAGAGAAAGGAATGTGGTTCATAGAGTGAAATGGTGAATAGGAATCATAGTATCATTAAACAAAACAATCGATTGAATAATATGATGGATGGAATCCATGAATCCTATGAATGATAACCTTGCTTTCTATTTGATCAACAAAACAATGTGAAATGCAATGTGATTAACATAGCAATAGTATTAAATAAACAATATTGAGTGAGTGAATGAATGAATATGCCATCCATCATAGAGATCTCTTCCACTCACTTCCACTCCATCTTTCCATTCCACTTCGCGAGTAGCAATCCGAGTTTCTTCATCGATCCAGTATCCTCGACCATTTCGAAGAAACGATTCTTTCGATTCATCATAAACGAATTCACCCACAAACAGGGGAATTCGATTCGAAGCGATGGTGTTGTTACCGTTTCGCTTGAACTCCGTCATGATGGTTCCTTCGATCTTGCGGATGATCTCCACCAGCTTGTTCCCCTTCCAGATTCCCTCGAGCAGCATGGCACCCGTTTTATCGTCATACGCGATGCCCCATCCTTCTCGTTCTCGCTTCTCGTTGAACTCACCGTGATAAATCAGGTGATCACTCGCATGCGAATAGATTTCCATACGCTCGCCTCGGACATGGTTTATTATACGATGAAAATTCTTGTTGTCCCAGATTTCGTCAAAAGATTGGACAACAGCGACACATCCATTATCAAATCGCGTAAAGTCACCGATTTCGCTCCCGTTCGCATCCACCTCGTAACACATTTTTAGTATGCCATTTTGGAATAGGCAAACCTTCCCAGCTCTCGTCAACGTGTATTCAGCCTCGTGATCGCCTTGATAATATTGGAGGCTATACTTGCAGCCGCCAATAGTGATTTCCTTTGCTTTACCAAGCGTTATGTAACCGTCCAGGAGAAATTCGCTTCCCTTAAGTTCTTGCATTCTACCTATTTATAATCACATATCCTTAGCCTCTACTCTTTGAATCCGTAATTTGTAGCCAAATATAAAGAATTTATGAAGAAAACAGAGAGATCAGTTTGTTTCTTTACACCTAAGTATTCTTCATATTTAAAAATTATGATAGAGTGCTACCATATACACATTGGATCCAAGATTTCCAAGTGAAGTACTCACTTGTGTTTCGCATCACTTTGTTCACATTTTTGTGGTTAAAATAGTTCGGAGGTATAGATATTTATAATATTTATAATATCAGGATTGTTTGGAAACACTCAGAATGGAAAAGTCCATTTTGTTGTCTACTATGTCTGTATAGGTTGTATATTTATGATATCATAGTGAAATCGTGTTAGGAAGCAAGGATTTGGTTGCTCACTCCACTTTGTCTAAATAGTCTATATTATCATTATTATTATTATTATTATTATTTCGATAATCCAATCTATCCATCCATGATTCTAGCCAAATCATTTTGACTTGGGACTGGTTGGGTTTGAAAACAATTCAAACTAGTAAAACTAGTAAATCAAATCGAATGGAATGGAAATTGGTTTTGATCCAGTGATTTTCACACAAAGAACCTATCTTCGCACATCGTTAACCATTCACTCCATTTTCTATCATTTCCTTATCCTAAACCAACCAACTAACTCTAAATACACTTTCTTTCTCTCTTTCTTTGTTAGTTTCAACTATCAATTCACAGCACTCTATTATTATTATTATTATTATCAACTAGAGTCGTTTGGTTCCTCGTTCTGGATTATTCTGTTCATGTTTCTAAATCGTTCCAACACCCTACACACTCTAAATCTACATTTTCTTTCCTTCCTAAACACATTTTCGATTCTCATTCAAATCCTACAACGCTTCAACCATTCCACATCTCTACAATTCCATCTATTCATCCATCCATCCATCCATCTATCTTCCAAACCAAACACCGCAACCATTTCTCTCTTTCTTTCTCTCAGCAACTGCCAAATCGGTCTGGATCGTGGAAACGTGGAAACATCGCGACCCACGGCGCACCAGGCGTGATCGACGAGGTGGGCGCGGATGAGCGCGCCGGTCACATCGTAGGCGAAGAGGAAGCGGAGGCGGAGGCGGAGGCGGAGGCGGAAGCGGAGGGGCTGGGTGACGGAGACCACGGTGGCGTTCTGCGCCCAGTTGGACAGGAAGAGATCCAGAGAGCCCGGTCGACTCTGCACACCTTCGTAGGGAGCCACGGACCCCACCCCATCGCCCACCAGATTCCTGCTCACTCACACCCACACCCACACCCACACCCAGAGCGAACCGGTGAGCGAGGAGGTTGGCTCGCCGTCCACCACCAACACCCAACGAATTCCGACGTGGCCATCGTGGACACTCCGAATTGCCTGCCCATCCACTCGGCACTGCCCACTTCGCTCGGGACGCACTCCAGCGTGTAGGAAGTCGCGGGGATCCCACCCTCCAACACGTGACACACATCGCGTCCCGCGGGGAACCAGACGGTTCGGCGGAAGGAGGAAGGAGGAAGGAGGAAGTGGCGGGAGCGCGAAGCTCGCATGTGGCGGTGCAGAGATCATGGAAGGATCCGGTAATCGCCATCGCACAGTCCCACTCAATGCCCTCCGCCTGATTCCACACACACCGCATACAGAACCGCGGGGATCTTCTCTTGGCGGGAGAGATACCCGGTGAACGCGGCCACGCTCAGATAGATGGGCGCGTGCTGCACGCTCTGCACGCTCTGCACGCTCTGCACGCTCTGCACGCTCTGCACGCTCTGCACGCTCTGCAGGTCCAGGAAGCAGTTCGTGCTGGCGACCTCGCTCTCGCTCTCGCTCTCGCTCTCGCTCTCGCTCTCGCTCTCGCTCTCGCTCTCGCTCTCGCTCTCGCTCTCGCTCTGGATCACGGCCATCGACGCCATCCACGAGCGTCGCACCACGTAGTACCGAATGCTGGCGCCGCCCAGCTCCGCCGGCTCTGCCCACTGCACGCGCAGCGAGGTCGAGGAGAGCGCGGCCACCTCGAGGTTCTGCACCGCGCCGGGCGCGACGACATACGCGGCGAGGGTGATGGGAGAGGAGGCCTCGGAGAGGATGGAGCACGCGGCGGAGCACAGCGCCACGCGCACCCAGTAGGCCACGCACGCATCGAGAGAGAGAGAGAGAGAGAGAGAGCTCGGGTTGCTGGACGTCGCCCTCTTGGAGGAGCGCGTCGGCGGCGAAGAGCTGGGAGTGGGAGCCAACCAAGGCCTGCACGAAGAGCTCGCACCACCACCAGACCCAGCGCACCTGCGTGGCTTCGAAGGCGGCAGCAGCACGACGGGCGCGGAGGGAGGGAGGCAGGCAGGGAGGCAGCAGCACGACGGGGCGGTAGACGGAGAAGGACGCGAAGGCGGACCAGGAGGCGCCCTTGCGGACACGCCAGCTGATGGCCATCACGCTGTTCACAATGGCGCCCGCCACCAACACGGAGCGCGTCTCGAAGAACTGGCTCTGCACATTGCTGCCCATCAAGGCCATCCATCGGGGCTTCATCGGAGATGCCACTGCTCCAGGGAACCTCCATCTGCACAGACACGCTGCGCTGCGCTGCGCCTACTCCACTTCCCTCATACCAATCGCGCTCTCCACAATCCGAGCAGGCCACAACCGAACGCCAACCGAACGCCAACCGAACGCCAACCGAACGCCAACCGAACGCCAACCGAGCGCCGGCGCGAGTCGAGAAGGTCGCGATGAGGGTTTCCGCGGGGAAGGGGAGGCCGTTTCGGGACACCAACCTGTTGGCATTGATGTAGAGCGTGCGTGCCTTCGCAGAACCGCGGGAAGGAGCCATCGAAGGCGAAGGCGAAGGCGAAGGCAATGGTGTAGTCGGAGATGGAGATCGCGGTGGTGGGATAGGAGAACGTGGCCTCGGCCAATTCAAACACGATGTGGATGTTCATGGGCTCGAATGGGTCGTTGATCACCTCGCCCACACCCACATTGCTCGTGCAGTACATCGCGGATTGCTTCCCATCTCCCATCGTCCACAGCGCCACGTCCCTCGCCCCATCGCCCGCCACGCAGCGCAGCGCAGCGCAGCATCGGCAGGATGGGCTGGCAGGAGCCCGTCCCCTATCGATCGATCGATCGATTCCCACTGCTGATAGGCGTTGCACCCATCCGTGATCATGCCCCACTAGTCCACATCGCACTTCGTATCCAACACTTGCCCCAAGTGCCCTTCCGGCTACCCCGCCGCTTCGTCCGCGGGGCACACCACCGCCACGCACCTCACCTCTCTTCCATTCCAACACTTCCCACAGCGCCCGCACCACGCACACCCCCACCTTCCCATGCTCCACAGACCCACAAATGCAGAACTGCACCGTCTTGGAACTCGCCTCCTCCCACTGGCCATTCCAGTTCACTCGGCTCCCATCAATCAGAGGCGAAGACCGTGTCCACAGCAGTTCGCATACTCCGCCTTCTTGTCCCATTCTCCCAAGTTCCACACACGCTCCGCTTCTACAAACCTACAGCTCTTGCTCCCATAGTTTGTCCTTTCACTCATCGCAAATCCGTTCTCTCTACCACACTCTACCACCTCACAATATGAAAATGAAAATACGAGAAACAGAACAGCTATCCTAGGCAAGAAAATGGGGTTAACAAACAAACAACTTATTGACCTGCAGGAGATCTTGAGCGGGTTGTTCACCGTCTAGTACTTCAATACCTTCCACCCTTGGACTTCTTCCCATTAGCCCACCTCCGGGGTCTGCTTGCTATCCCTTTATGCCATATACCATATAGAGTGAGCCGTTCATAGTAAGTCCTTTGCAAGAATCTTGCTAGTTCCTCACAACCGACCAACTCAACCTACTCCCCAAAAGACTATCCACAACCAATATACGGTGTCAGGATTTTCTCACAATCCTTCCTTCCTGTGTTCGGGACCCAATTATCCCTCCCATGGCTATCCGAACCACGATTCTCCCCAGACGAGGTACACACAGAGCCAAAACCATTTCTCATCGAACCCTTAACAATGTCTCTCCAGTCCGCACAATAAATTCTTTGTATGACCCTCCGTCCCAAGGATCCTCTCGGAATAACACTACAATCACCAAAGCCACGTAGCGAGCCTCTCAAATCCACCGGGTCCTTACACAATAGTTATGGGCGAAATCGGTTGTCCACAGCGATATGAGTAGAAACTTGACACGCGTCACCAGAATCCGCAGTCGAAAACGTCGAATTAGCAGTCGTCGAAGCAGTCGTAGAAACAATGCAAGTACCTTTTTCTCCCTATCTCTCTGCCTGTGATTTCTTCTCTGATGCCTTGGCTTCTAGATCAATATCCTTCATTCTCGTTTCTTGCTTCGTTCTTCGTTCTTCTTCTTGGCTTCCAGAATTGGTTTCAGCTTCTTGTACTCTTCTCTACCCACTCTCAATCATTCTATATGGTACTGTACCTCGCCTCCTTCTCTCTATCTTGGATGGTACCATATCTCCTCCAAAAGTGGTCATTTCCAACGAATTCCAGTACTCCCATCGCATCCTGCAACTCTCTCACCCATGTCCTCTCTCTTCCCTAAGATAAGACAAAGCACATAAATCGGTGTTCAATTTCCCAGATGGGAAGGCAAATTTACTGTCGGAACGAATTGAGCTCAATTTACTACAAATCCATCTCTCATCCACCAAATCAAGTGGTGTATCCAAATTCGCATTCTTATCCGACATTTCAGAATGAACCTTCTTATGCGGCGGGACATTCTTCTGTTGGACCGTATTCGTCCTTTATAATGAATCGCA